ATCAGTGATTCCTTTGCTGGAGAAGCACAGGGGGGTTCAGCAGTTGCTGTTATTCATTCCCTGGCACAGGTTGGCAGAATCATCCGTGGATCTGAATTTGAAGTTGATGTGCTGGAGGCTGGTGCCTACTCTGGATCTGGAGAAGATTGTGGCTGCCAAGTGTCTGCTGCTGGGAGCTGGCACCCTGGGCTGCAGCGTGGCAAGGACCTTGATGGTGAATCCTTCCTCTCACAAATAATCTCCCGCTTCTCATGAAATCTAAATTAATTTATTTTTTTTGTCCAGCTGCCATGACGCATCAGAGCCAAATTGCATTGTCTCCATCAGAATACACAGAATGCACATGAGTTATGTTAGAAATTGCAGGGAAGAGATCTGTACCTAATGGAAATAAATAATTCAATTGCTGCTGACATTATATATATGTATTATATTATATTATATTAATTATACTATTATAATATACATGCATATATATAATTATAATAGTAAGGGCGCCTCTCAATAGCTGCTGACATGAGAAAGTAAGGGAACCTTGGCAGAATATTTTGAATTTATTTAAAAAAAGAAATTCTGGAACAAATTAACAAGCTACAAAGAGCAAATTCACAGTGAAGCACTTGAAATAACTGTGCTGGTGATTCCTTTCAGGGGTGTTCACCCCTTTCCACTTAATTCAGTAGGATATGAGGGGTTTCTGTTAAATGCTATATTTAGCATTTAAAAACCAAATTATTTATACATATATTTATATAAAATTTATATATTTATTATATATAGATATTTAGCAACCAAATTTTCTGTTCCCTTATTTCAGTCACTTCAAAAAACTACAAAAAATTTTGTAGCTTAAAAAAAGTGAACAAACTCAACGTTGTGTGTATGACATTACACAAAAACATTTCCCAAGGCTGTTGTAATTATCTTTATTAACTTTTGTTCTCCTTCAGGGCTGGGGGGTGAGGAAAATCACGTTTGTGGACAATGCAAAGATCTCCTACTCCAACCCCGTGCGGCAGCCGCTCTACGAGTTCGAGGATTGCCTCAGTGGGGGCAAGCCCAAGGCTCTGGCAGCAGCAGAAAGGCTGCAGAAAATCTTCCCAGGAGTGGTAAAATCATTATTTCCATCTTCTAGCACTGGGGGAAAGGGAAAAAAATGAAAAAAAAAAAAGTGACTTTAAATTGCTATTCCAAGTTGTAGTAGTTAAACGTTAAAAACACTTTGCAGGTGTTATGAAATATTATAGGTGGTTACTGAAATATCTTAGTTGGTTANGTGCATTATTCTGGTTTTTCCTTCTGTCAGTCACAAATTCCTATAATCCTAAAATGGAAGCATTTACCTGAAAATGCCAGCCTCACACCCTGCCAGTACCCTCCAGCTGTGTCAAATCTTATTTAAAACACTCTGTGAATTTAAATAATTAATTCGTGTCAAGTGATAGCAGAATTACACTTTAAAAATCAAATATTAGTAGGTTTTCTCCTTGTACCCCTTGATTTTTTTATTTTTTTTTGTTGGGGAGAAGATGGGAAGAGAATACACAGTTACACTCTGGGTTTTGAAAAAAAGGATTTAAATTATCAAATGAATTCTGGTTGCTGTAACAAAACTGTAATTCATTTGCACTTCCATAGTTTTGAGAGTTACATTTACACAGCCTTGGGGTTGAGAAGGGTTTAGGCACTAAAATTCTTGGTTTTTGTTTGGGGGTTTGAATCATGAGGAGGAAAAAATTATATCTATTGAGAACTCAGAGGATCATGGTGCTGCAGCAAAGTCCCTGATGTGTGCTCTGGTGCTTTTCTGCTTTTTATTCCTCTAAATCTGCAGTTTGTCAGTGCTGGAGGAAAGCAAGGACAGGCTGCTGTGGCATTGCTCTGGAGCTGCCACACCAAACCAGTCATTTTCTGACACTTCAGGAATTATTTCCCTTTCTGTACATAATAACGACACCACTGTCAGCACCAAGACAAAAAGCCTCATTCAGAACCTGCAAAGGACTAAACCTGTGTGAAATGCTGTTAAAAAAATTCTCTTTTCTATGCAAGAAGTTGCATGTCTGTCCCTATTTCTCTTTTCTCTGGCTGGCAGGGGCAGTGCTCTGCAGAGGCTGGAAGTGCTGTGCTTCAGAGACAGAACCATGCAAGGGGTGAGAGACATCACCCACAGCATCATCTTTGAAATCAAGCTGCCACAGGCACCCCTGGGCCCAGGTAAGCCATTAAAAATTATTTTTTCCGCTTTCTTTTTGCCTTCTTAATCACTGCTGACATAGCAAAATTAATTACTGATAAAAATTGTTACTTATGCGAAGTTGTTTCAAATGGATTTTGAATTGTTTGAATTTCTGTTAAATGTCTCTAAAGTAGTTCCTTGTCCGNCTGCCAATTCCTGCCTCTCCTCTCAGCCTATTCTGCTCCTCTGGCACATTTCAGATGTTTCTGAGACACTACCAAGAGTGGCTGGGAGTATTGTATGTTTCACTGTAATTTACATCAAGACAAAACAGAACTAACCCCAATGTTTTGGTTTAAAAGGAGCTTTGTTGCTGCTTTTTTGTCCAGGTGATCCTTTGGGTTTGCCAGCTCGCTTGACACTGGAGTTCAGTGCCTTTGATATGTAAGTACAGGCTGGGGTTTGCCTTCGTTTGTGTGTGGAGACACTTTCCTGACATAAAATTGATATATTAGTTAGAGAAACTCTATGTGAGAATAGATAACTCTATGTGAGAATAAATAACTCTACATGAGGATCAATAATTCTACATGAGAATCAATAATTCTGCATGAGAATAAATAATTCTACATGAGAGTAAAGAACTCTACATGAGAATTGTTAATTCTATGTGAGAATAAATAATTCTACATGAGAATCAATAATTCTGCATGAGAATAAGTAATTCTGCATGAGAACCAATAACTACATGAGAATCAATAATTCT